GGTAAAACGAAAGGGGGGCGGTGTCCCCCGACGGCTGGTCCCACGGGCTGCTTGCTGCTGCGTCTGCGACTCGTCTGCGAGACGCGGCATCCCCGGAGGAGCTCGCAGGAGGGTCTGCACAGCGGAGGAGGGCTCCTTCCCCGCGGGTCCCACCACGGAAGAGCCAGCAGTGAGAGCCTGGCGTCCTCCCATCCCTCCTCGTCCCATGTGTGACACACAGAGAAACGAAAGGACCTACACGGCAGCTTTGAGCAGAGGGAAAGCCTAGAGCTGAGGCGGGCGACTGCGGGTGGCCTTCCCCTGCTTCCATGCTGCTTCCCCTGGCCCAGGGCAGCGGCAGCTTCGGGAAGGGGCCAGGCCTTTCCCTGCAGCGAAGCGAGCACCTCCGCACCGCCCCGGCTGTGTGGTCATGATGGGTGACACCAGCTCTAACCACGTGGCTGCACTCGTTTTCGAAAGAAAAAAATCTGAACATTTTAAGGGCGTTTCGGAAGTTCCCTTTCTCTTTCAAAGCACAGTTGACGCTTGCAAAGCCAGGGCAGCATTTTCTCACCTCTGAGCTCCAAACCTCACGGCACGAGGAGAAGCTCGGGCTGTTCATGCGCATCCCTGCTGCAGCGATCGCCACGCAGCCCAGGAAAGCATCTCTGCAGCGAGCGTGACAGCCTGCCAGCCGGGCATCCACGGGGACACAGAACCACGAAACACTTCGCAAGGGTGTTCCCCGAGGCTGGCAGTGGTGCGGGCACAGTGTAGTTTAACAGGAGGTGCCATTTAGAGCCCCATTATGCCATGAACCGTGGAGGAATTCACATTCAGGGAAGTCAGGAAAGCCCTCTGATGGGGAGGTCCAGCAGAAGGAAAGAACACCCCATCGAGAGCAGCGGGGGCCCTGTGGCACAGCTTAGTTAAAGGTGAACCAGGAAGAGCCTTAAAGACTAACCCAGCACTGCTGGAGAAGCAGTGCTAGATGGCTTGGATGTCACCGCCTTCCCAGTGCCTCGGGCTGTGTAAACGGCACCGGGAGGTCACTAACCTGGGGCTAAACACATCGGCAGCGGCAGAGCTCGAGACCAGCC